AAAATAAATAAATATTTTTTAAAAATAGGCTATTATCTATGTATATCTTATGAATTCAGGACATACTATATATATATATGTGTGTGTGTGTGTGTGTGTGTGTGTGTGTGTGTGTGTATTTCTAGACTACACAGTTTTGTTTTTAATTTAAGCCACAAGTCTCAAAAAATAAACATAAAAAACCTGCATATAGGTGGACCCCACAGTTCAAATCCGTTTTGTTCAAGGGTCAAGTGCAACACCTAATATAGTGTAAATGCTATGTAAATAATTGTTATACTGTATTGTTTAGGGTATAATGACAAGGAAAGAAAATGTGTACAAATGCAAGGTTATCATTGTTCTGGTTTTTGGTACTGGAGATTGAAGCCAGGATGGCTCTACCACTGAGTTACTTCTCCAGCTCCCCAACCCACTTTTAAAGACAGTGTTTCCGTAAATTGCTTAAGGCTTTGCTAAATTACTGAGGCTGCCCTGGAACTTGAGATCCTCCTGCCTCAGCCTCTGAATCACTGGGATAACAGGTATGTGCCATCTTGCCTGCCCCGATGCAATTTTTTTCTGAACATTTTCTATCTAAAGTTGGTTGGAGGGCTGATTGTCCACATATTATCAATTACTTTTTCTTTTCTTTTTGGGGATTGAACCCAGGGTGCTTTGGGTATGCTAGATGAACACTACCACTGAACCAATTCTGCCAATTCTTACATCATGCAGTTTTTGTAAGTATAAAAAATTAGTGTGGGGGTTGGGGTTGTGGCCCAGTAGTGGAGAGCTTGCCTAGCATGTTTGCAACACTGGGTTCAATCCCCAGCACCACATAAAAATAAATAAATAAATGTATTGTGTCCATCTGCAACTAAAAATATTTTTTAAAAATAAGTGTAAAAATGTCTTTACTTACGTAAAAGAATGGTTATATATAAACTTAAATGCCATTTATTGGTACTAAATTACCATAAAGATATGTTCAGCTTTATGTGTTTTTGTCTTTAAAATTAATCCAATTTGGGGGGCTAGGGATATAGTTCAGTTGAGTACTTGCCTAGCATGCACAAGGCCCTAGGTTCAATCTCAAGCCCAACCAAAAAAGAAAGAAAAATTTTAATGTATCACTAAACATATTACATATTAATAATGTATAAAAGATCCATTTTTGTATTACATAATTGTATGTGAGCAAAAAGGAACATTAGAAATTACCCTGTTATTCATTCATATAATTGAATTATATTATTCATGTTATTAAAAGAAGCCACAGTCCAGACAGGTTAAGTGCCTGGTGTGAGTGTATATGGCCAATTTATGATGGAGCTAGGAGACATACCTTCAAATAATAAAGACCACAGAGAACTGATCTTGTTAGATACAATCTGATAGAAAATTTGGAAACATGTCAAGCAATCTTATGTACAGTTAAATATAAATAACATGCCTGTGTCTTAGTAATACCTAATTCAATGGTTGTTTCAGGGGGAGGTAATATGGTTTAAAATGTCTCTAATAATTCACATTTTAAAAAAAAAAGCCATCTTAGTAATGTTGTGTCTAATTCTACATTTTGAAAAAAATTCTACATTTTGAAAAAAAACAAAATGTAGGGTAGGGAGAACATGTTTAGCTTGCATTAAAGTAGTTACTGTTATGGGAAGATAGCTCTCCATGTCTTCTTGACACTAACCTGTAATGCTAAGTTCCTTGGTAAGATCCAACAGACTGAAAGAAAGTGGAAGATCTTGAAGAAATGAAGCAATTTCTATGATATTCAGCTTCATAGATGATTAATGTAAAACCATACAAAGGGTAGAATAATTTTAATTTCTTAATATCAATTGAGGCTTCATTGGGGAAGTTAAGGAGAGGTTTGCCTCATACTGCAAATGTAAAAATAAAGATCATTATTCTTTCAAGATCTTTGAATGGTTTGGATCCCATTTGTGAAGCCCCATATACCAATTCATCTAAGATTTTTTCTAGTTATCTTATTGAAGTATATGATGGAAGAAAATAYTGTTTATGCTAGTGTAAGTATGTTATATATTGGTAGTGAAATGGCAATTCTATAAATGTTTATACTTCTAAATTAAACCCTTTCAAAAGCATTTTAATCTTTTAATTTTCTAAAATAATAATGAAATACTAAAACTTAACTACTGGGCTGCCTACTTTATTTATTAAGGGGTTAATACAAATCATTTAAACATCTCTTTATCAATCCAACAGTTAAAGGAAGATTATTATTCATTCCACAAACAATGAACATCATGAGTAAGACCTAATTCCTGCTCAGTAGGAGCATCAGTAGCTGCATTGTTTGCCAAAATCATTCCAATACTGTGTCACCACTTGGACACTTAGTGATTTATGAAGAAAAACTGATTATGTGTTAGTGCTACACTTTATGGTATCCTAGAAACATGTATCTTTCTATAATTTTACCCAATTAAGTGAACAAAACCTTCAGGCCTGGCTTACAGCCACTCTCCCGACTTCTGATGTGTTACTTGGAGGACCTTTCTGTTTCAGATGAAAGCAGAAAATGGTAGCTTACCATTCTCTTGTAATAAATTGCAGACCACTGGAACAGCATTGCCTAAAATATCCCAGGAATTTACCATAAGCATGGCAACATTTTAAGTTATTTTGCTTACTATGTTAGTTATTTATGCCTTTGGAAGAAAAATGTGCAGTTCTTTTTAGATTTTTATACTGTATCCTTCAGTTGTCAATTAACCATTTTTCAATTTATTCGTTGATGAAATTCAGTACCTAGTATATATTAGGCACAGTACTAGGAGATAAGGTTGTGGAAATGTGTAAAGTTGGAGCAGCTTTGGAACAGCTCAGCATCTAATGGGAAAGAAAATCAGGTAGATAATTACAATACAGGTAAGTGTTGAATGAAAAGCATGATGTGACCCGTGGGAAGGACACCAAACTATGAGTCAGGAAAAGCATCCCAAAGAAGTATAGTAATCATGCATGTTTGCCAAATGCTAATTTCTTCACTCTTTTAAGAATCTGGATTTTGTCCACAATGGATAAAGATAATGTGGTATATACCCACAATGAAGTTTTATTCAGCCATAAAGAACAAAATTATATCACTTGCAGGACAATGGATGGAACTTGAGAGTATTATGTTAACACAGTAAGCCAAACTCAGAAAGTCAAGTGTGGTTGGTATGTTTTCTCACATATAGAAACTAGAAAGAGAGAGGAAAAAAAAAGTGGGGTGGGGTCTCATGAAAATATAAAGGAGACCAATAGAGTAGAGGAAGGGGACCAGAATGAGGGAAAGGGGAGATACTAGGGAATGAAATTGACGATGTAGAAGACAATGTGTAATAAGAAATTCTACTATAATGTGTAATTATAATGAAAAACAACAAAAGTATTTAAAAAAATCCAAGAAAAGCTGTGGACTTTTTCCTCCAAAAAAAATGACATACCAAAATTTTGCATATAATTTCAACTATTCTTTGAGATTCAAATAGCATAAGAATCTAAATTCATTTTCATTCCAAACTGACCCTTTATAAGTAGTTTGCCCTTTTTTCTATTCTTTTATTATTATTATTATTTTATTTATTTCCTGATGGTCCGACGAATATTGGAGGCAAGCACTTTACCATTGAGCCACAACCCCAGCCAACCCTAGTTCCCTTTTTTCTATTCCACAGCTACTTTTTTTTTCTGGTGTTACAGTAAGCACTTCTTACCCCATCTTTATGTCTTCAATAATCTTACACACCTTTAGTTATCATCTAGTTCCCCCCCACACAATGAATTCACATTTTACAATTTTAGTCACCTTTAAAAAGAAAGCACTTTGAGCTTATTAAATTGTCTTCCACCAATAATGCAATTTTATTTTTGCCTCATTTCCTTTAAATTTTTTAAAAATTTTATTTATTCTAATTAGTTTATATATGACAGCCGAGTGCAATTCAATTCATATTACACAAATAGAGCACAATTTCTCAAAAGTAGTCACACCATTTGTGTTTTCATACAAGCGCTTAGGGTAATGATGTCCACCTCATTCCACTGTCTTTCCTACCCCCATACTCACTTCCCCTTCCTCCCCTTTGCCCTATCTAAAGTTTGTCTATTCTTCCCATGCTCCCCGCCATCCCCATTATGAATCAGCATCCTTATATCAGAGAAGACATTCAGCGTTTGATTTTGGGGGATTGGCTTACTTTACTTGGCATTATATTCTCCAACTCCATTTTATTTCCAATTTTTTTTTTGAGACTTTTAGGCTCAGAATTTATCTTTTACTCTTAAAGACTCGTTAATCACACAAAAAATTATGGTTATCTATATGTGCGTTTGGAGCTAAATTATTATCAGTTGTGATCTTAGAACTCTTTAAATATTTAAAATAAGAAAAACCAGCACATGAACCTCTCCCGCTTGCATAGCCCTGGTTTTGAGAACGCACCTGCGGACTGGGTCTTGGCGGAGGCGAGCTTCGAGCCTCGCAGGCCCCGCAGCCCAGGGCCGGGCTGGTGCTGTGAGGGCTCAGCGAGGCAGGGAGGGACCCTGCTGGGGGCGCGGGGCTCGGAAAGGAAGCTGAGCACTCCTTCCACTGACCCCCGCCTCAGAGGTCTCACAATCAGTTCCTTGTAGTGACGTTCTCGCCAGTTGGTGCCAGTCACTTCACTTTATTAAGCAAAGAGGACTTGGGCAAAGAAGGCACAGAGAGAAGCCAGAAGTTCACTCACGAGTGGACGGACAGTGGCGCCCTCCGAGCCCGGCCTCCTTGCGGTTAGCGGAACCGAGGGGCGGCGGACGCCTGGGCCAAGGCGAAGAGGGAGGCGCTGCTCACGCGCGCGCCCGGCCGCGGGGTTTAAATCTCCCGCCTCCCACAGCGGAGCCCGACACCTCCACGCTCTGGTGCGGAGGGCACGGGCTGAGGGAGCGGCCCGACAGCGTCGCGGGCTCGCGGGCGGCGGCTGGAACGGGTGCCGGGACGGACGTCCGCGCGGCCGAGCGCGACCCGAGGCGGCGGAGGACCAGCGCAGCGCGATTCCGGCGTCGCGGTGAGCGTCTGCGGCCTCCCTCCCGTCGCCTCCCTCTGGGGTTGCGGTCCGGCCCGGAGGCCAAATCCTGGTTCCCATGGCGATGCCAGGAGGCAGGGGCGCCACCCGCACGCGGTCCCCGGGGCCTCGCTGGCCGCCTCGGTTCCTCGAGGGCCGGGCCCTGCGGCCTTACCCCTGGGCGAAGCCCGGACCCGCGCTCTTCCGGGCCGACTCGGGGCAGCACCGCACCGAGTGGCCCAGGGCGGGGCGGGGTCCCCTCGGGCGGACGGGGCGCCTGCCCACGCTCGCCCGTGGAGAAGGAGCACGGCGGCCTAAGGCTTGGTTGGGTGGTTTCTCCCGAAGGTGGAGAGCGCTTCTTTAGAGGCAGATGCTCACAGCCTTCAGGTGCTTTACTGCTGGCCTTGTTTGTTGTTTTATTTTATTTTTTAAAATTTGTATTATTAGTTGTTCAAAACATTTATGTTGTTTTATTTTATTTTATTATTATTTTATTATGGGAATGTCTTCCTTAGAAAGTAATTGGCGATCTATTGGTAAAACAAAACATAAGCAAATGTGCGGTTTGGAGTGAACTGCGGAATGCACCTGCTTCGGAGGGGTCCGCGCATTAATCCTCTGGTCCCATAAGGAGAACCCATCCCCACCGCGCGGATCCAGCTCCTGTGTTGGGTATCCTGGGCCATGATGTCAGTGGTCGGATACCTGATGCTCTAAGAAAGATGGAGAAAAGGGGTGGGGGCGGGAGATCCCGCTCGCGACTAACCAGCGATGCTGTGCGTTTGCCAGTAGAGGGGGTGGGATTATTTTCCATGTAATAGATGATCTTAGTGCACAAAGCATAAAAGCTGTTATAAACTATGGGTCACTAAAATAGCTATTGGGAAGATAACGTTTCTCCGTGGTTTGGGTTCTTTTTTCTAAGTATTATGTATTGATTTATTTGATTGGACAATGTACTGTGTAAGGCGATATTGCTTTAATCATCATCCCATCAATATTTATGGGGTAGCCACAGGTTCCTCATTCTTTAGTAGGAGTTAAGTATACACTTATCAGCTAAATAAACATTTAATGTCATGTATTTTTTATATGACCACGCTTTAAAATAGTTTTTTTGTTATTTGTGCCTAACATATTCTTTGAGCTCTTTATGTTGATTTAATAATGCAGAATGATTACACATCTTGCCATTGAGACAGCTATGTGAAGGCACTCTTCTAATTACTATTAATTATAATTTCCAGGCAACTCCTCATTATGATTTTAGAATTAGGAGGGTGCTCAGAGATCAGCTAGTCTAAAGGGCAAAAACTGCAAACATGAGACTGGTGGAAAAAGTAGGAAGCCTTATTTTTATTATAAATGTTTATCATAAAACAATACAACAAAATTTATACCAGTGATGAACTGGAACCATATATCAAAATATTAAATATTACATATAAATAGATAATGTACTATTTTTTTTCTATACAGATACGTTGAGGTTTTATTGTGTGGTATATTCTACAATTTAAATTTTTTCTTTTATACTTTACCTGTTTCAGTACTCACTATACCTCCTTTAAAATTTTAATTTTTTTAAATGTTCTTTAACAACAGATGGGATGTGTGAAAGACTTTCGAATATGTCTGGAACTAGAAAAGTTTCCTCAGATGAATCAGGCTTTGTCATTTAATAATATCCTTAATCTCTTATTAAATTTGTCTGTTTTTCATTCATCCCTTAAGTCTTGTCTTCTTTCCTGAAATAAAACTTTTCAGACTTCTTAAATTCAGTCATCTTCTATATATCTTATTTTGCCATTATTGACTTATTTGCATATAATGCTAGAATTTAATTTTTTTCTAATTTATTTGTGATAGAAAAAGCTTCAAGTAACTCTATATTTACAACAGCCATCATTAGCCACTCTTACCATTTTGTGATAGTTCTTTCTAGTATTTTTCTAATTTTTATTTATTATTTTGCTGGGGATCCAACCAAAGACCTGTGTTATAAACCAATGTGCTGTCACCCAGGCTTAATTTTCCATTTATAGAGCACAGGCAAAGTAAATTTAGTATGATACTTAAGGGCCCTAGCATTTTCTGAGGGGTAAAAAAGCACTGGCATCAACTTCAAGTCATCAGCTGCATTACCTCCACCCTCATCCCCCCCACCCCACCCCAAGAAAGTCAGACTGTCCTTTGAAGTTTTGAAGCCAGGCATTGACTCCTTTCTATCTAATAGAAAGTCCTAGGTGCCTTCTTCCAATAGATGGCTGTTTCAGCTACATTGAAAATCTGTTGTTGAGTTTAGCCCCTATATCAGTTGTCTTCTGGGTAACTTGCTGCAGTTCTGCATCAGCACTTGCTGCTTCACCTTGTACCTTATGTTATGGAGACGGAGTCTTTCCTTAAACCTCAGGAACCAACTTCTGCTAGCTTCAAAATTCTCCCCTGCAGCTTCCTCACCTCTCTCCACCTTCATAGAATTGAAGAGAGTGAGGGCTTTTCTCTGGGTTAAGTTTTGGCTAAGGAAGTGTTGTGGCTAGTCTGATCTTCTATCTAGGACCATTAAGACTTTCTCAATTTCAGCAATAAGCTATTTTGCTTCTTATCATTTGTGTGTTCACTAGAGTAGCACTTTTAATGTTTTTCAGTAACTTTTCTTTTGCATTCACAGCTAGGCTACTGGAGGTCTAGCTTTCAGTCTATCTTGGCTTCCAACCTTCCTTCTGCACTAAGTTCATCATTTCTAGCATTTTATCTAAAGTGGGAGACCTCTGACCCTTCCTTTCACTTGACTCCTAGAGCTACTGTAGGTTTACTGTTTGGCTTAATTTCAATATTATTCTGTCTCAGGGAATAGGGAAGCCTGAGGAAAGAGAGTGAGACCATGGGGTAGAGGTAGGGGTTACTGGTGAGGCAGTCAAAAAACACAACAGTTGACTGTTTTATATGGATATGGCTATTTCTGGCACCCTAAAACCAATAATAACACCAAAGATCACTGGTCACAGATCATCATAACAGATATAATAATAGTGAAAAAGTTTGAAATACTGCAAGAATCACCAATATGTGACACAGAGACACTAAGTGAGCATATGCTGTTGGAAAAATAATGCTGAATGGAAAAATATCTGTGCAGGACAACACAGCAAAATGAAGATATTTTTAAATGCACATACCATGTGTTTCCGTTTCTATGCTTTCAGAAGTTTATCTAATATAAGTATTTTAAATAATACAAATACATATTTATTCATTGTAGCCTGGTTTGAAATACTATCAAGTCTGAAAACAATCTAAATATCCATTGATAAGTCAGTTAAATAAATTATGCAGTCCACACAAGATAATGTTATATACCCATTAAAATTGTATTCCACATGATTGGTAAATTCCATGTCATATTCTTTTTCCCTCAGCACTATACATAACACTGTCTTTTCTGTAGTGCTGGGGAGGAACCCAGGCCATCACTATCACTGTCTCTTTATCACTGAGTACATCCCAGCCCTTCACTTTTACTACCTAATATAACTGAGGCAATGTCTGATGCCAGCATAAATTACTTAATTTTCTGATGGTCCTGTTTCTGCTCAGATATTAAGAGCATTCTTTCTTTTCTCTTAAAATTTAGCAACATTCCATGATATATCTCAATCAAGGAAGACTTTTTTTAACATAATGAGCCCTTCTAATTTTCAGCTCTATACCTTTGCATATTTTGCTATTCCAAATATCCGTCTTAATCCAGGAGTATTACTTACATTAGATCTCAGTTTTTTACCTTTCAAATTTGTCATCCTTGTTTTATCTAACCAGCTTGTTCAAATGTAACCCCTTTTTCCTGTAATCTTCACTTTTTAATTATTTCCCCAGACCCATTCTCCATGTTAAATTGGTCTTATGAAATATCTGTTCTGCATGTAGTTGTTTTAAATTCAGTAGTATGTTTTGTCTCTTATCTCTTGCTTCTTTCAGTTGTCTTTTATCTATTGTATAGAGTTATATTTTATTTATCTGCATGCAGAACCATTCTTTATCCTTCTATTTCATGGAACAATTTTCATGAGTATGTATCTTCTCTTTTTCATGTTATGGTAGGACCTCCTTTTTCTTACATTGCTACTTTTTCATGGTGTTTCTTGTTGAATGGACCAATTCTATTCTGGCCTGCCTTTCCCCCCAAGAATGGTATAAGTAGTTATCTTAAACCCCTCCTTGCTTACCTGGTAATTTCAATAACTGCCTTGGAGTCTGAGGAGACTGGATACTTATTTCCATTCAGTAATTGACTGCTTGGTGCCAAGGTCCTCACATGCGGTCTCTCGGCTCTTTTGCACAGCATGGGTTAATCATTGATTACATAGTCAGGTAAGGCAGGTAGATCTGTGATTAGCTTACTTTAGTCTGCTGTGCAAGGTTGACTACCAGCTTTCTGTTTTCCTCTTAGTCCCCCATTGTCTCCAGATAGGAAAAACAAAAATTATCCTGGCCACTGGGGGTTTTAGGGAGTCCAATACACAACACAACTTGTCCGGCCCCATCCTGAGAACCAAAGGAGTTAGGCAGATAGAGATTAAAATATTAGCTTTCGTATTGAGAGATCTGTTGGAGGACATTTATGATGTTAGAGTTTAGATGTGGAATGTTTCCCAAAGTCTCATGTATTCAGAGATAGGACTTTCATGAAATAATTGGATGGTGAGGGTCCTGACTTCATCAGTGAATTAAATCCATTGATGACTGAATGGGCTACTGGAAAGTGGGACACAGTTGGATGAAGTAGGTCACTGGGGATGTGTCCTGGAAGGGTTTATCTTTCCCCAGCACCCAGGGTTCCTGCCCCACCCCCACAACGCTGCTCAGCCTTAGCCTTGTAGCTTCCATGAGCTGAGCAGCTTCCCTCTGACATGCCCTTCCACTATGATGCTTTGCCTCACCTCAGACCTAGAGCAATGGAGAGACTAACCATGGACTGAAACCTCTGAAAACATGAGCCAAAA